GTTTTACTCATGAAAGTACTACATGCAGTATAAATTTTAGAAATAATCTAGAAAGAACATAAACTTAATTCACAGCCTTATCATCTTGAGATGTGATTTTTAAAAATGATATGTAAGTTAAAGTTAGAGCAAGAAAAAGAAACCTATTCACTGATTCACTACCCAGATGGCCTCAGCAGCCAGCACTGGGCTAAGCCAAAGTCTGAGTCCCCTGCATGGGTGGCAGAGGCCCAGATACTTGGACCATCTTCCATTGCTTTTTCCAAACCATTAACAAGGAGCTGGAATAGCCAGGGCACAAACCCAAGACAAAATGGGATGCTATGCCAGGATGCTCACCCAAATATTACCTTTTAAATTGTATCTCAGTCATTTCCATACACGCATATATGAGTATTTTGAAAAATATATTAGAAAAAAAATGTTGCTTGTTCCTTACTGTTATGCTATGATTATTTTCTCTCATTTGAAAATATTTCTTGGAAACATGATTTTAATGATTAGCAATGTTTTAGTACATGATTGCCCCATAATGTATTTAATCACTTCCTTATTGAACTGGAAGGTTCTATATAATATTTTTTTACCTCGTATGTTGCTGTGATGTTATCTTTTGTAGATAAACACTTACCTCCATCTCTGATTATTTCAGGAAATTAGTCTCTAGAAATGCATTTGCTAGGTAAAATGGCATCAACTCCTTGAATATTCTTGACACTTAAACCGAACAGCTTTCCAGAAAACTTGAAGTAATTTGTGTTTCCAGTACTGGAGTATTAGAACGTCTGCCTTTCTTTAGAAAGTGTTAATGTTTTTCAGGCTTTGACAATTTGTTAAAGAAAAACTTGAGCTTCTGTAGTATTACATGTGTTGTGTTTCCCTTTGCTTACAATTCCTGGCTGCTTTTCTTGGTGTGTGGAAATCTTTTGTGTCATTTCTCCTCTGAGAGTACAAGTGGTTTTGTAACACTGATGATACTGGGAAAAGTGGAAGAGAATGAGGAAAACTCTGACTTGAAACAGGTTGTCATTTGCTAGGCAGGTTCTGCCACAAAGCTTTCTCTGGGTCAGCTGGGTCTTAGTAGGTGAGTCATCAGAGTAAATGTAACGTCCAGTGCACTTGGCTCTCGGGGAGCACAGAATCCCTCCAGCCACAGCACACAAGGACCAGCTCCAGCACCGTCCTCTTCCAGGAACACAGGTACATTCTGTTGGGTTGCAGTTGTGATGCTTACCCTTACCTAGGAAGCAGCCCTTATTTACTTTATTGTTCCCTTGAATTGTACTATCCATAGCTCACTGAGGCAGCCATACTCAGAATGCCATCAGCTTTGCCACTGGAGTCAGTTTCTGTTCTCCTTTCCCCTCCAGCCCTCACTGCCCTACCCTGACTTAAAATATGTGGCCCTTAGCAAGCCCTTTATCCTGGAAAAAAAAAAAAGAAAAAGGTAAATATTCGGTGTGAAAGAACAAAGAACATTCCAAGGTGCCCAATGGAGATGACCAAGGATGACGTGTAAGGACTAACTCCCCTTGGCAGTGTCTTGGGAGGTTGAGCAATGGGGCAAACCCAGGAAGTCTACTTTTCAGTTTTCCTGGGAAATGACCTCAGCCTCATGTCTTGTGCTTAACAATGAGGTGGAATGAGACGCCTGAGTCAGAGTTCTGTCTCCAACTCCTCTAACCTGGTAGAAGGACCTGTAAACCTGAACAGTCCCTGCATTGGGGATGGTCAGAGCAGAGGCCCTCAGAGAGCAATTTTCAATTGAGCATTAAGGAGATAACAGTCCAAAAGCTCTTCCCTTGTAAATTTTGCAAAATCTAGACTTGACCATAAATTCTTGGTGACTTCCCATGAGAGTGCAGGTTCCTAGGCATTTCCTGCTGAGTATCTTGACATTTGTTGGCCTCTTTGTGATTCTGCTCCAGATAAGATATGATGCCTTCTAGCCAGTGATTTCACCCTCATTCAGTGTATCTCTTATCTCTGAGATCAGATGATATCACTGTTGCATCCACTGGACCACTAGAACAGAATGATACATTTGCTAGTGACAGTCACAACAAAGTTTTATTATGAGTGAGAGGCAAGACAACTGACCGACCAACCGGCTGGCCAGCCAGGACCAACACTCCGTATCCTGAACAACACATTCACAGGGTTTTTAGAGGGGCAGTCCACATCAGCTTGAAAAGGGGCAATCCACAATAGCCTGCAAGGTGAGGGGGGAAATACCACACATTCCCTCCCTATTTGGGCTGGACAGCACATACCTGGCTCTTCTCTGGTCCAGCAGTTAAGGTAAGCAGTCTCCTAATTACCTCAAGCCACCTGTGAGATAATCAGACTTGGGCCTTGACTCTTGAAAATGGGGGCCCATTGTGCTAAAGGTCACTCACTATAGGCTGTTTGGCTTGCAAACTCACACTGTCAGTAGCAGTGAGCCACGTTTACTCCATTTTGTTTTCAGTTCTACAGTCACCCTTCTAGCTTTGTTTGTTTGTTTGTTTCCCTCTAGTGTGCTCTTCTGAGTATGGATAAGTGTCGGACTGGTTTGTCAGTGAATGGGTAGAATCTCTCAAGTAGTTTTACCTCAGGATGTTGTATGGTCAGTGACAAACTCCAAGGATGTGAGATCCTTCCCGGTGCATCTGATGGTCTGCCCAAGCAGAGCATGTAGATTTGGAGTCATGAGGGCCTCTTGGGTCATGATGCCACTTGTCAAGATGCCTATGGCCCCGAGGTTGGCATGGCCTCCTTTGTCCACTCTGCCTGCCTCCCCCATTGATTGCTTTGCGATTCCTGCTTTGTGATCCTCCCGCTTCTGTTGAGGTTGTTCTCATTCTTTGGTGCGGAAGCCTCCCCATGGGGTTTCACTGCCTGCAGTCATCTTCTTGTGTTGAGTCTGAGCTCTAGCCTTCTGTGTTTCATCAACCTTGCTAGCAGTTACTGAGCACTTACTGTATGTCAAGCACCATTGTAATTTCAATCAAACCAGTAGAGCCTCCTTAAATGAAGGAAGCCCTGCTGTTATCCTCCGACATAGATGGTAAAGAAGAGGGTATGTGGGTAGACGAAGCCAGGATTTGAGCCCTGGCAGGATTGATTGGCCAGGCTGCATTATCCCCCTTGAGTCCTCTAGACTGCTACCCTGTCAACTTTTCTGTGCTCAGGACCCAGGGTTCTGCCCATCACTAGACCTCTATCCATCATCTTTCTGCTTGAAAAGCCTTCACCCTGCTCCTGGCCCCGGGCCCCTCTTTGGCAGTACCACCAAGCTGGATCTGTGAATGGAAACCCCCTGACGCTGGGTTAGTGCAGGGGGCCAGATCTCTGCCTTGGAGATCTGCCTTAGTAGGTCGGGGGCTGCTGCTGCTGTCGTGTTTCTGAGTGCTGGGCACCCCCTGTCATCATCATCATTTGGCATCTCTCTGCTTCTGGTGGGGTGCGGTCCATGTCATTGTGACCAGGGGCTTGTCTCCTTGCTGGCCTAACAGCAGTCAGGGTAATCAGAGAATAGAATCTTAGGACTAGTTTGCACTCTCCTTGGAAAGGTGCTGTCACAGCTTCCCTGAGCACAGGGCCAGAAGTGAGTCCTGGCTCCCTTTGGGGTGAACAGAGCAACCCAGGTAGAGCACCCACATCAGACCCCAGGGGCTCCTACATGGCAGGAATAAGGTGGAACCATGAAATCCTTGGCCTGCCAGCACCCAGTTTGTGCTTGAGTCAAACCAGGTACCTGGAGCAACAGCAGAGAGCTAAAAGGATCAAGAGAGGGCATCCATGCATAGCCTAGTAAGGGGGAGGCAGGAAGAGAATGACAATTACAGGAATTATCACCGTGGGCAGCTGTACTGTGTGTTTGCCTCAGTGCTGACTACTCTGTACCTTGCAATAAGCCAAGTGCAGAACAGTCACTTGTCACTTCATTCAGAATCAGTGTTAACGTTAAGGGTGGGCAAGTCCCAGAACAAAGAAGTGAGGAAGCTGGAAGCATCCAGATGAAACTTTTCTTCTCCCTTTGAGCCTGCACCCCAGCCTCAGGCCCAGCTCCTGGGCCCTTGCTTACTCTCTGCAAGGTGACCTCTCTACTACTAAAAATACTTCCACTGCTCTCTGCTCTTTGCTTCTTGGATGGTGACTATATCCCTGTTACTACCAGTCTTTATAAAGGGTTTTGGGGCATACTTATCCTGAGATCAGATCATACAGTCTTAGTATTTTATCTATGGAAACAGTTTGGAAGTTGCAAAATAAGGGTTAGTGGCCATGGTATGGCCGTTAAATGGATAATTTTCAAGTTGACATGAATTGCACACAGCGGCTTGGTAGCAGTAAATCATGATAATCAGATGAGTAAAAATTGGGGAATTGAAGGCATGAAGAATCTCTTTATAATTTTACTTTTCTTGAAGAAATTCTTCCAAGCTCTTAATAAAGTGAACTTGACCCTGTTTGACTGTCTCCTGGATGAGTGTCTCTGGATGAGTGGACAGCCCACAGCAGGAATCCTTCCAGTCCATGTCTTACTGAAAGGTTTCGGTTTCCTAGAAGGATTAAAGATGGAAGATATTGTGTGTGTGCATAGGATTCTGGGACTTGTAGTCTGGAGAGCTGGATTTTGATCTAGACTTCTCAAGTCTAATTTTAAATTGTCTCTCTCGTCTTTCTGGGCTCTAGTTTTTAGTTTTAGGGTTTTTGCTATTTTTTTTCTTTTAATGTTGTTAGTGGATGAATGTTGGTTTAGTTGAAACATGGCTGTTTTATCTCCACTGAAAGTAAAATAATCTTTACCTAAAAATGGGACTATGAATATAAATGTGAATATAAATATGGATTTAGTCTGCATGATAAAATGCTACTGTTCTGGTTTGTGGGATTAAAATGAGCTGAAATGTTAGCTGATCCTTATATTTCCACTTTAGCTTGGCTATTTTCTTTTTGTAATATTTTTGAAATGAGAAGTATCATCCTGCTAAATCTGAAATATTTCCTTACAGTGATCCATATGTGAAACTTTCATTGTACGTAGCAGATGAGAATAGAGAACTCGCTTTGGTACAGACAAAAACAATTAAAAAGGTAAGTGGCCATCCTTAACTAGACTTCATTTAAGTCATGATGTATTCTTCCAGTACTCAGTCTTTAAATTCTTTATAGATTGAAGTTTTTTCCTGTTAATCCAAGATTTTGCTTTTTGCTTACGTGATTATAAAGAATGGTATACTCAAGATAATTCCTCATACAAGTGATAATTTTTTTATTCTCACAAAACATGCAGCAAACTAGCACTTGTTCGTGTTAGCTGTTTTTCACTTAAAACAGTTTAGAACGCACTGCATGAAATGGAATGGTCTATGGAGTTGTTTTAGGCATAAAAGAAATGGTTTAGCTCTCAGCAAACAGCACAGTATTTCCTAGCTTTGTGAATAAAGCAACATATATATATATATATATATTTAGTTTCAAAAGTGTGATGTACATGATTTCATTAAAGATTTGTTTCTATAGTTGAAAATAACATGTTAATTTCACCCAGGTCCATGTTTGTATCTGAGAAATGCATGAAAATACCGCCTTGCCTTTTGGGGACTTTATTGAAGATACATGTGTTCTGTCTCCTCTGTGTTTTGCTGAGCATTTGGGGGGTTTTGCCTCACCCCTTCCTGCAGGAGGGGTCAGATGGTGTGAGGCTGTGATGAAGGTATCCCCTGGCAGCCTGGTGGCTTTGAGAACAGGGACTTTGTGCCACTGCCTGGCAGACAAGCAGGGCTGCAGCCAGTTTATTTGTGTGAAGAGAAGCCATGGCCATGGGTCCTTCGCTCAGCTTCGTTGCTGGCATTAAAAATCTGGTTTGCAAACAGGAGCCACTGTTTCGATTCACAAGGCATGCCTGTGGAGGACGGAGGCCATTGTTCCGGGCGCTCGTTCCGAGGAAGTGGGAGGGCACCTTAAGGGAAGGCAGCTGGAGTCCTGGGTGCCTGCTGCATGTGGAGCCAAGGACCAAAGTGGGTCGCTAAAGGCAGCAGCCGGTCAGGGATGTTACAGTGTGGTGGTTCCTTCTGAGGGCAGCTCTTCTGCCTCCCGCACTGTCCTTGGCAGAGAGGGTTGCTGTCTTCTCTCAGCAGCCAGCCTCCGGTTAGTATGCCCATGCTGCTCCCATCACCCCACTCCCTGTGACTGTGCTGTCCTGCGTTGTTTGCTTCCCCTGCGGATCATTTATCTAGGATCCCAGAACCCCACCCCCACCAAGGATTTCCAGGAAGCAGCACCCCACCCCCACTCCTCTGCTGGCCCTGCAGGCTTGACGGCTGCCCCATTCTGACCTGGCTCCTCTCTCCCACCCTCCCTGCCTGTCATCACCATCCCGACTCCATTCATATCTCAGAGTGTGGCAGCCCCCTCCCCCTTTTTAAGGATTGGATTCACTGGGAAGGTGTGGGTGGAGAAAAGTGCTGATTTTTTAAAACATAAGCCTGAGTTCTGTGTTCTGTTCACATGATGCATGGTGCTAATTTTTTCCCTCTTCTCACCTCTGCCTGCTCATATATGTTAGAAATACATGGATAAAAGCAAGTAAGATTTTGGCTTTAAAGAAAACGTTGGCGGGGTGCGGATTCCTCAGTGTCAGATTTTTACACCTGTGTTATATAGGCAGGTTTCTGGAGAGCACTCTGCGCACACACACAGGCGTGAATGTTCCGGTTTCGAATCTGCATGCTCTTGGTTTTGAAGCGGTCAGACAGTCCCTCTTTTGTCCATGATGAGGACAAAAGGATCCTTGCCATATTCTAAACAAGTGCCTCTCTTAGATTAGTAGAAAAATGAGTAGCTGAGTAAATGGAGAGGAAAATTGAACAGCAAGTTGATAGGTAACTTTTTTAACCTGGTTATTTTAGAAAAGCATATTTTAGAAGAAACTTTTTGACTATAGCCAGCTTATTTTTTCCTGGTTGGAAATTCTGATCATCAATACTGTCTTTATATGAATTTTTGAATGAAGACCTTATCAATAATAAACACTTTCAGCCTTCTCCTTCCTGTTTCACTTCGTTCCTGAATGTTTGTAGCAAAAGGGAAGTCAAGTTTATTTTCTTCTTGTTGGAATAATGACACCAGTGATAAAGTCTTGAAGGAAGTGGTCATTTCTTTTTTTGTTTTAAGAAGTTGTGTTATTGATTTGAAAGAGTTAGAGAGAGGAGAAGAGAGACAGATCTTCCATCTGCTGGTTCTCTCCCCAAATGGCTACAACACCCAGGGCTGGGCCAGGCCAAAGCTGGGTGCTTCTTTTGAGTCTCCCATCTGGATAGAGGGGGTTCAAGCATTTGGGTGTTCCTCTGCTGTTTGCGCAGGCCCCTTAGCAGGCATCTGGATTGGAGTGGAGCAGCCTGGACATGTCTAGCCTCCATAGGGTATGCCGGTGCTGTGGGTGGCCTCTTAACTCGCTGTGCCACCATGCTGGCTCCCTAGAGGAAGGAAGGAGTTTTCCTATTGTTATAAGGGTGGCTCTTTGTTGGCCTGTGGTCTGACTGCTGTGGTGACAACAGGAGATTGACGGCTACCTGTCTCTGAATCCTCTGTTTAATCAATATATTTCTTCCTCCTCTCCTTTGCTTTGCAAAATATTCCCAAGCTGTTAATGGTTGCTGCTCTGATTGGCATTTTAGCAATCTCAGCTGTTATTGATCAAGAAGAAAGTTTAATCAAATATGTAGCTTTGCACTGTACTAGTAACTGTTAATGTTTCTGAGACTGTTAAAGATATTACAAGATAATTTCTTTTCCAGACGCTGAACCCAAAGTGGAATGAAGAATTTTATTTTAGAGTAAGTTTTCCTTTTTCTTTTTCTTTTTCTTTTTGGTTGGAAGTTGGTATCTGGGTGGGGCTTCTCCCTGTATCTCCCCATTTACTCCAGATACAGAAAAAAAAAGAGAATGTGGAAATAATAATCTTACCCAGTTTCCTGTAGCTGTTGAACTTTTGTGCCCTAATTAGCCATGTACAGATTGTTTAAAAAAAATCTGCATCTTCAGCTTTTAGGGAACAAAAAAAGAAGTTGATATCTGGGTTGATATGTTACCATGGTGAATTTATATTGAGGGAAAACTTCTAGATCTTTTTTTATAAGAAATTACTTTTAAGATGAGAAGGTAAATAAGTTCCTAATGGCTCTGGAATCTGAGTGACATTGAGGGGCAATACTGGACTTGAGGGTCAATTTTGGGGATATGTGGAGCCAGGAAAAAGCTATGCAAATAACATGTTTACTCTTTTCAAACACGACTTTTCTGTGAAAAATATATAATGTAAAATATGCACATGTTTATTTCCATGAGGCATAAGTTAGAAATTATTTTAGAAATAGGGTAGACAATAATAGCAACAACATTGGAACCAACCTTGTTTTTACTTAGGGCAATTTTTATAATTCAAATACTTAATATACAGGTAGAAACTTAGTATAACATTAATTCTAGAACATAATGCTGCTGAATTAGGTAAATTTTTCATTTACTTTTCATAGTTAATATCTAGAGCTGTATTCAGAAGTCAGCGACTTCTGTGAATTACCTGGAATTTGTACTTAGGGAACTTTCAGAGGGGTGGTTTTGGTTGTTGCCAAAATTCTGGAAATAATAAGCTCCTGGGTTATTTAACTGAAAGTTTTGCCCGGGAGGCCGTGCTGTTCAGAGCCCTGTAAGTGCTCCTTACGAGGTCCTTGAGCAGTTTCATTCCGGAGGAGGCATTGCTGGCAGCCCCTTCTGATGGATCCGCATCCGCCCTCAGTTGCTGTAATATCATGCTGCATACTTGAGTGAGCATGTGCTGTGTCTGTGTGCTGCTGCGTTCAGAGCTGAAGCGTGGCCCTGGTATTTCAGTGCTTGCAGAGAGCCTATGGACACCCTGCCCAGCTGTGCTTTAAATTACTCCTGTAGGGACTGGAAAGCTCCCATGGGCTGACAGGTGTCTTACACTGGACCTTCATGAACTCTCACACACAGGTTCTCACTCGTGAAACTCCGTATTACTTTGATTCTTTTCAGATGAACAGTTTGGCCCCATTTATGGAAACTGCAATACATACAAAACTGACTTCAGCCAAACTTGGCTGTAGATACACTTTTTTTTGTTTTTGTTTTTTTTTCTAAAACTGCATGTCTTTATTCATGTCACAAATCTTTGTTGAGTCCCTGCTACGTGCAAGTTTGTGCTACAGCCCATGGGTGCACTGCTCAGCAGCTCAGCCCTCCACAGACAGGAAACCCATTGTCCACTTGCTTCCGTGATCACTAGGTCACAGAGAAATGGGGCCCAAAACACAAGCCACACCTTCAGTACGTCTTGTGTGGTGGGATGTGGTGCCATTCCATTTTCTTTCAGAAGACCTGGTTTACAGCTCTAGCTTCACCATTTATTGCCTCTGTGACGTTGCAAAAGTCACCAAAGAATTTCTAAGTAGATCCAGAGTAGAGGATTACTTCCTGGTTTTACGTGTGATGATGAAATCAGAACATGTGGCCCATATCTCTTGGGTGATTGGTGTTCACTCTGCAGCAGCACACAGACCATGTGCGTGAGGTTCTGGGAAAGAAGGAAGAAGTGAAAAGACATGGACAGTGCAGTAACTGACGCTGGCCGCATGTTGCTGAGGACAGACACGGGGCTGCTCAGACATGGTGGGGGGCCTGGTTGCACACTGACCAGGAGCTCTTGGGCAGCCTGCTTGTTTGACCCTCTTGTTTTTAGCCCCTCATTTATGCCATGGGGATGCTATGCATCACGGGGTTGCCCTGAAGATTGTTGGTGTATAGCAGAGTGCCTAAAAAGTCAGTTCTGAGTCAGTGATGCTACATCTTCATTGCTTTGATCATTACTGTTGGTTTTATTAGACCAGAATAATTTCCTTGGGTTAGGGGCTTTTGTGAAGATGTGACCTTGGTCCAAGGCATGAGGATGCCTTTTGTAAACGTTGGGAACTTTGGGAACTTTTGAAAGGCGTTTAGAATTAGCCTTTCTTATTTCAGAGAAATAGCCAAGAGTCTCTGTGCTTTTGGTATGCCTGAATATCAGGGGTAGAATAATAGTAATGTCCCTATGGTAAGAAAGAATTCCCAGGGAAGCACGTTAGTGGCTACTGTCGTGCAGCCGAGTCGGATGTGTTGTAAGGCCTTGTTCCTCCACACCGTTCTTGCTCCTTGTTGAAGTGCTGTGTGCTTCCCTTCCAGGTAAACCCATCTAATCACAGACTCCTGTTTGAAGTTTTTGATGAAAACAGACTGGTAAGTGAGGTCTGCGTTTTTAATTTTGCTCCCTTCTAGGGAAATTGAATTTTTAGAGCAACACCTAAAACACATTGTACTTGTGCCATACTTAGAACACTACACAATCAAGGAGAAGCTGTTCCCATTTCGCTACTTGTTGACATTCTGATTTTGTGTGGCTAGCATAGCCGATTTATTAAAAGTGTGGATTTTTGTCACAGTTGATGCTAACGGCATTCACTGGTGATGGCCTCAGTCTGTGGCCACACTCTGGCATTGGGCATATGTACAGGTTGGAGGCAAATCTGTGAACAGGCCAACAGGCATGTAAACAAGCCATGTGGAATTTTAAAAATACAAGCCAGACCATAACATTGTGCTGCATTTAATAGCAAATCTGTGGGGATTCTAGGAAAACAAAAATTAATTAAAAGTTTGTAACAGAAATGCAAACCTATATTTAGCAGGTACAACAAAGCTGTATTTTTAAAGTGGTACTTTCCCAAGAGATTATCTTAAAAAGCATTTTTAAAGAACCTAAGCTGTGTGTGCCTTTGGCGTATAAATGATACATAAATTAACATTTTATAAATAGTGCATGTGTATATTGTGCTCATATGTCAGAAATCTAAGATTTCATTGCAGAAGTGAGATTTACTTTGAGAAGTAAAGTCTGGCAGATGTATTTTGCTTTCTTAACATCAAGTTGTGTCTGTGAATCACGTGTTTCTTCTGACAATGAACGGTATTATCTAAGTCCTTCAGGTACTCTGTTGTAACTTGGTGCACTTGTACTGTTACCTTTCCTGAAACTCACACATGTTGACTGATCAAAAGCAATGTCCTTATGAACCCTCCTTTCTCCAAAATTCACCATATACTCTAAATTACTGAATGCCTTAGGGCAAATGCCCAGGTCCTGCACACTGGTCTCCTGGGTCGCAACCCAGTGGTAGCAAGAACAAGGGAATTGATTCTTGTTAAAGAATTCGGGAGAACATTTATTCTCCTGTGTTTGGTCTTGTTCTCTAAAAATAAAAACAACAATGCTGGCATGGCATTATTGCTTTTATTTTTAACACCTGGGTAGGGTCAGTGATAATTAACAGTCCTCAATAACCAGTCCGCTTTGGAGGGGCTGTGAGGGTGCTATCTTGTTAGTTGGAATAAGCTCTACAAGGACGGTGGTGCTCACCTCTTTGTCCTGTTCCATGGAGGGCCTGGGTTAAGTTAGGATTCGCTGTTAGCAGACAGAGCTAGCTGGGGGATCTACACCGAAGGCTCACCCTGGATTAAATGTGGTGATTCCTATTTATTGACAAAAGGAGCAGATTTGAGGAAAGAATTGCCTCTTCTCTGGGGGTGTTCTAGGGCATTTTTTTTTCAACATTTTCCATTTCCGTGGACTGTAATAATGTGTGTGGCTGAGAAGATCTTCTCAGGGATGGGAACCTACTCAGACTGGGCTTTGGGTGTGAAGATTTGCACTGGCCTGAGTGACCACAGAATGCACCTGAGCTCAACAGGTTGTATTGATTCACAGCTCGGCCCCCAGGCCATTTGCAGTGTTGCTTTTACTGGTGTTTTGTTTGTTCATTGGCTATTAAAGCTGCAAAGATAATCCTCATCTGCAGTAATACTTGGAAATTTTAGCCTTAAATAAAATAGCTTCCTTTCCTCTAGGAAGTCGTTTTTCCGCATTGAAGACCACACTGTTTGGGTGTTTGTAAACACAAGGGTAACTAGGCTCCAGAGCTGTTGACAAAGTCACGCTTTGCAGTTTTAAAATTCACTCTTGACAACATGGTATTTTTTTTCCCCTCCTGTATTTTTTTTCTTCCAAACCCTCCTAAATAAACGTTTGTGAAATAACTGATGTTACTGGGTCATAGGAAACAGTAAGTTTACAACACTGAGTATTTCAGAGTTAACTGCAGATCTGAAGACAGCTTCTTCCATGGGGGCTTTTATTTCTTAGACCCCCTGTGGCTCTTTGCATATATAGCAGGATTCCATGTTTGTCCCAAGGGTGACCATGTTGCTGACTGCTTACTGGCAAACAGCTCCTGGCAGCATTTCTTCTGTCTGGTACTTAAATTACTGCAGAAACTGCATGCACACCCCTCTGGTGAATGTCCCTTCTTGCCCCCCACCCCGCCTGACATGTGTAAGGGAATATTTTCAGTAGCTGGGTTCCTGGCCTCTGGTACTTCCCTGTCTGATCATCATAATATAAATGGGATGTACACACACAGAGACTTTTAAATGAAACTAGTGCAACCATGTGGGGAAGTGAGTTGTACGCCTCTGTCCCTCCAGTTGGCTATTTTGTTCCTTGGAGATCATGGTCTAATTATTTCCCAGTACAGGGACCCTAATTCGGTGGCGGGGCGGGGGGGGGGGGATTGTGATCGTATTTATAGTACGTTTTATTAGTTTGCATTCCGGCATGGTGGTGTGGTGATATCATAAATAACAGAAACACAATAGGCACAGCTTACGAAAGAGTCCCCCCCCCCCCCCAAGACCCCTGCAGTAGCCAGGAATTGGAGTGGGAGGTGGGTGGAGAACCCCCTGCGGGTGCCTGGCCAACAGTGCTGCTCTGCGCAACACCCCCCCCCCCCCACCACCACCCTTGGAGAATCCCAGAGCGCTGCTGGGTAACTGGGAGAGAAACGCCCTGCCAGTGCAGTCGGCTCGATTTACAGCCCAGGGTCCCAGCTCTGGCTGCCCCAGTCAGCTGCCAGAACTCCCTGCTGGGCCACTCCTTTCTGATGGAAAAGCAGCAGCTGGGAAGGTGCTGCTTCAGGCTCTTGCTGTTTAAAAAAAAAAAAAAAAAATGAGGAGGAGAGGGGGGAAACGGCGCTAAGTCCACAAGCTGGCATTGGAGGGGGAGTGCGTGGTCATGTGTTCCTGGCCACCCTACCCTCAGCCCCAGTGTGGATGAGAGCTCCTTGCTCTTATCCAATCATGCCTGGAATGCTGCTTGCCACTTGGGTTATTTCTGCTATCTGTCGCTCCTGGTGCCGCAGTGCTAACGGTTTGGCAGATGGGACACTTTTTCTTGGAGTTTCTGCTTCCCGTTTCTAACTTGTGGCCGCGCTACCGGCCTCCTGGTTGCTGCTCGCCCCGTGTGTCCCGGCCCCCTGGATCACCATGGCCCATCGGCTTCGGTTTCATTTTGGCTCTGGTCGCAGCAACACAGCCCCTGAATCTGAGATCCTAGACCAGGAGAGAGAAGAGGACTTTTTCATGGCATTCCACACGCTGCCCAGGAGGAGCAGCCCGCACCCCTGCTCCCCGCACGGCACAGGGCCTGGTGGAGGTGGAGGAGGCGGCGGAGGCCCACAGGACGGCGTGGGCGCGCTGAAGCGCAGCTCGTCTATGTTCATCCCGCAGCTGCTCACCGGCCTAGACTCCCGGCCCACTCGCAGCTCTTCCGTGCAGATTTCCCTGCAGCGCAAGGCCACCACACACGGCGCCACCGACGGGTGCGGGCCACCCGAAGGCCCGGAGGACAAAGATGACGATGGGGACCAGGCCGCAGGTGCCTGGGCCTCCACCCAGAGCAGCGCACAGGAGCCAGTGCAGAGGGACGCCCTGGGGGGCTCTTCCCCGCCCACGGCCACCGGAGACTCCTGCTCCCAGATCAACGGCCACATAGGCCGCAGCCTGCGAGTTCCTTGCTGTGGTGATAGCGTGGAGGAGGCTGGCCCCGGCCTGCGCATCCAGCACCGAGCGTCCAGCGCTGATGTGCGCCAGGTGCGGCTATTGCCCCTTGGACCAGACGGCGCGTCCGAACCCCGGCGCTGGTCCCTGCAGCATGTCCCGGATGCTTCTGGAAGTTCGGGGAAGCGGTGTTTCATTTTCCAGCTGCAGCAGCCCCAGGTGGGCAGCCTGGGGCCTGGTGGTGACTTCAACTTTGGCTTCACGGGCACAAAGGGCAACAGGTTGGTGCGGTACCCCCGCATCCGGCTCGAAAGGAGCACTTCGTACCCGACCCAGCCGCGGGCCGGAAGAGGGAGCCCCACTGAAGAACGAGCCACCCCAGAGGTGGCACCTACACCACCACCACCGCCGCCACCACCACGGGCCAGCAGGGTGGCCCCAGAGATCCACAGAACAAACTCAGCAGAGAGGATCCCGCAGGGACAGGGGTGCATGTTCAAGATCAGGCAGGAGCCGAACATTGGGCAGCAGCATTTCAGGATTCTGGTCACCCGAGGACCTGAAGAAGCATCCGCAGGGGCTGCGGAGGATGGTTCCATAGGGGCTGCGGTAAGTGCGCCCCGGCTGAGCCCCAGCTCCGTGCAGCGTCCAGAGAGGGAGCCCCCACAGCCAGAGGCCACGTCGCCCTCTCACCCGGGTGCCAGAAAATATCTTGTCTTTAGGTGCGCAAGCCAGGGAGCTCATTCTGTTTTGGAAATCCAAAGCAAAACACACTTTTAGTCTCCTTTCTTCCCCCCACACCCCCAATACACCTCCCTGATTCTGAATGGAATTTTTAAACATTTATTACTTGAAATTAATACCCCCTCCCCCCAATAAAGTCAGTGACCTAACTACCTGAGGTTAGGAACACCTGAACAAGCTGCTGGCTAGTGTGGCCTGGGATAACGCTGTGCCTTAAACAGTTGTCCGTGCTGGTACAAGTGAGAGCTTATCCTTGGTCATCAAATACACTGCGCCAGCCTCGGGCCAGGCAGGGGTTAGCCCTGAGGTCCCCCGGGCCTGTAAGGTAGTCCTGAATGTCGTCCCCTGTTCCTCCTGAACCCCAAAGATCGACATGCTTGGCAAAGTGGCCTCTGTACCCCCACCGAGGCTGGGACTCTAGGGGTTGAGGGTCGCTGATGAGGCCTTGGCTGTGCTAGCTGGGCCTCACCACTGTTGGGAGAGGCCTGAGTGGCCTCTCATGTCCAGCTGTGATGATCGTAGCTGTGGAATAGGTATTACTGACAGCTTGCTGCCCCATCTTGACCTGGAGAGAAGAGGCAGCTGCTGGTTGGTCCAATGATGTG